TATAAATAAGTCAATACAAAGTGACCCACCCTAGCTCATGGGCTATAGAGCTTAAAGTCAGGAACAGATGTGTGCTTCTTCAAGGTTCACTGGTGAAAAGCAGAATTCTTCAACCAACCAGGTCAATCAACCAGGTCCAAGAAGCAGCGAAGCAGACCCAGACCATCACACTTCCACCACCGTGTTTGCCTGTTAGATTTACGCCACATTTCTTTTCTTTTTTAAAAAGTGTAATTCCACTTTTGTCTCACCAGTTCACTGAATATTTTCTCAAATCTCGTTGGGAATCGTAATGATGTTTTGGTAAATGTGAGATGGGTTTTTTTGACCTTGAAACTCTCTCATGGAAATTATTTTCTTGCTGTTAAATCACAAACTCTGACCTTGAATGTATGTTAATTGTTGTTTTGGCTTCTTTTGGAACCTCCTTGATGAGTGTTTGAGGAGTTCTCAGAATAATTTTGGTTGGCCGGACGCTCCAGGGGAGCTTCGCCACTGTTATTTCCTTCACTTCAGGAGTAACGTCTATTTCAGCGATTTCTTGATTCTGCAGTAATCAGGTCGGGGTGTGGAGAACAAAAAAAACAAAAAAAAAAAAACAAAAAAAAACACAAATAAATAAATAAAACTCAGCTAATTGAAGATTTAACAAAGAGAAGCAATTAAATTTTTGAAGTTTCGCTTTGTTCCTTTTGATTGCTGCAAATTTGCCTCCTTCTTTATTTTTGGACAAAGCAGATTGCAGTTTGCACGCTGCCCCGGTGTGACACTTCCCGCTAAACCTCCAACGGAAACAACTTCTGAAAACACAGCTGGAGAAGCTGAAAACTCGAAGCTTTTATTTGTGAGGAAACATCAGCGAGATGGTTTGAGGTTTTTAAAGCCTGAACACAACAATTAGCTCTTACAGTAGTCGTGGTATATGAGCCATGTAAATGAGAGGGAATGCAATAGCAAACACACCATTAAACTGATGGAATGAGGCCACAGAAAGCCTGACTCCCTCCCCAACACACCGATTAAACCTGCCAGAACGTGTTCCGTGTACAAACTGTTCCTACTGTGAAATTAAAAGTGAAAAAAGTGGAGTTTGTTCAGTGATGGTGCCACTTGTTAGGGACACAGTTGTATAGTTACATAGTGCCACCTGCTGGTAAAGTCCCTTTTTTTTTTTTTTTTACTTTTGCACACATTTAAAACTAACATTTAATCCAAAGAACAAAACCTTACAATAACTTGCAACATAAGTTAGAAGATATGCTACATTTTTAACACTAAATGTAGAAAATGATCTCTAAGCTTGCATTTATTGGTGAAAACACACCATTATTCAAATGTGCAAACGCTAGAGCGCAATCAGGAGAAAATAAACAGAAGGGCCCTCATGCAGAAATGACTAATTGAACTGGAAAAGCCATTTGACAGTTAAATTAACACAGTCATTTACCTGGAGCAAAATAAAAYAAATAAGAATTGATCTGTCTGAAGGGCTTTCAAGGTTGTTTCACTGCACAGCAGCGAAGAGCGCCTCTGCAAATCTAGTACTCGGTTCTACGAAAATGTAAAGTTAAAAACACAAATGAATTTTATTTCTATTTATTAGGGTTTTATTTTCGTTTGCTAAAGCAGATCATATACTTGCTTCATAAATTTTGATGTTAGACTGGTGAATTGATACATTGTGTTGCTTTACAAAAATCCTGATATAAAAACTCTCTGCAGGAACTAGTCTCAGCCTGAACACTTCAGTCATAAAGATGTGAAAGGATTTGTCATTAAACGAAGACATTTACAGCCTTCGGGGACAATTAGTAGATCTATCCAGCTGATTATTTTAGGATTCATTACCACGGGCAAATTGAAGAAATACTCCAGCACTTTAGTGTTTAACTAAGCTTGTCATTAATAACAAACAGTAAAAAGAAGCTGTACAAAGATTAGTTTTCTCTTTTTTTATATAGCTTGTTTATTTTTGTTCCACATTTTCTCATCCACAATCATAATTTTCCTCCCTTATCAACATTCAGGTTGTTTTGGGTCATTTAGATCTTTAACAGCAGAACTAATGTTTGATTAAAGTTTAATCTTATCCCACTGTTTGTTTTCTGTTAATTCCTCTGGACGAGAACGCATGATGTCAGATTACAGCAATGCCAGCAATTTAAGCCTCATAAAAAAAAAAAACTATTTGGTTACTGAGCAGCTCAAATAGAAAAATATTGTACATAATACTAGTTAATGAATAAAAAAAATCACAAATTTCTGAAATATTACATTTATTTTTTGTTAAAAGAGGTTATTTTAAATTGAACAGGAACAAAAGTAAAATAAAGCACCTCAGACACCATAGTTTGTTGTTTACATTATATTCAACAAAAACACCCAGTTATAGCCTAATGCAGTGTTTCCCAAAGTTGGGGTCAGGACCCAAAGTGGGGTCCTGAAACATCAAGGTGGG